CTCGGCCCAAGCAAGTCGGGCAAGACTGTAGCGTTGATCAGCCTGATTCTGGAGCAGTATCGCGGTGTCTTTGAACGGATCTACGTCTTCAGTCCCAGTGTCAACATCGACGACGGCTGGATTCCAGTCAGGAAATATATCGAACAAGATCTGGGGGTGAACACTGAGCGTGAGCAAGCGTACTGGGACGAATGGGATGAAGCGGCGTTGAGACGCATCATCCAACAGCAGCGTAAGATCACGGATGCTAGCAAGAAGCTGGAGATGAAGCAGCTCTACCAAGTGCTGGTGGTGATAGACGACTTCGCAGACACTCCGCAGCTCCACAAGGCCCACGGCGCACTGGACACGCTCTTCATCCGAGGCAGGCACTTGCAGATAAGCACCTGGGTGAGCTCCCAGAAGCTGAGACTCATCAGCGCAGCCGTGCGGGCCAACATGCAATTCCTCTGCTGCTGGAGGCTGCGCAACCAGCATGAGCTGGACGCTGTCATCGAGGAGCTGAGCGCCCTGCTGCCGAAGGACAAGCTGCGCCGGTTGTACGAGCAGGCGACCCGGGATCCCTACAGCTTCCTCTTTGTGTATTACTTGAAGTCGAAGAACGAAATGTTCCACAAACGCTTCGAAGAGCGTTTCGCACTGGAGAAAGACGCTGATGGGAGCGGCGCTCAGCTTCCTGGGCCAGAAGCTGTTCGCCAGCTCCACACAGTTCAGCGCGAAGTGTGAAAACATCTCCTGCGCCTCAGGCGCTCAGTGCTGCACCTCCGTCGCAGCCGTCCAGTCACCCGTCGTCCGACGGACTGGCGGCTTCCTTAGAAAAGGCATGACGACTATCTACGTCCGCAACGGGTCGCCGGCTCCGACAGCGACTTCGAGGGTCGACCTAGGAGAGTCGCTGCAGCTGGCTGAGAGCCACGCCAAACGCTTGAGCAATTCATAGGACTTCTCATTTGGACCACGAGCATCGCACTGCATTTGGTGTCGCGGTTGGCCAACGTGGGTACGTTCTGAACAGCCCTGCGGAATCCATGCACTGCATACCACCACAAATGTGGTCCGCCTTCAGCACCTGCAGAGCGGCGCCAGGCTGGCAGTCTTTAAGATCCGCTTGGCCGACAGCTTCCTCTCGACGGACCGGGGCCGCTACCTCTACTGGGTCGAAGCCTCCACGTCGGCGGGCTGGCGCGGCTCCGGTGGCGCGGCCGGGAGGCTTCTATGCCTTGGCGCTGCGCGCCAAGGGCGGGCAGTGCGTGATCCGTGAGCTGCCCGAGGACTGGGAGCTGTTGCAGGCACGGGCCAAGGGGCTGGGGTTGCGCTACCGCGGGCAGAGGCTGGCCTCGCTGAGCTTTGAGGCTTTCTCCGCGCTGGTCAAGGCGCCGAGGATCACCCCGAGCCAGCGGCAGAAGAAGCTGCTGCTGGCCGAGCAGGGAGGCAAGTGCGCCGCCTGCGGGCAGCAGATCGGCGTGCGCGGAGGGCAGCAGCAGCGCTTCCAGGCGGAGTGCCACCAGACGAAGACCCAGACCGAAAGCATGCAGCCCACGTCGCTGGAGTCGCGGTTCACGCGCTCGGTCTACGACGCGTACGTACGCTCTCCCAAGCAGCCTCCGTTAGTGTTCCAGGCGCGGCCCCGGGGCAGCGGACCGCTCGAAGGCGTGGACGTGGTGCGCTGCCGCAGCCCTGGCCAACGCACCGTTCCCGCTGCCCATCTTCTGCCCGGCCGACAACATCCAGCCGGCGCGGCCCGGGCACCTCGCAGACCTCTCGTTTGTGGCAATGCCCCCGTGACGCTGCTGCCCTACGTGGGGCAGCAACGAGCTGGACGCGACAGGGGCCGACACCAGGCAGGATTCTACGTCGGCGAAGGCCGGTACGTGTGGGACTTCATCGCCGCCCGCTCAATCCACAACCACGGGACGCTGCGCCCCATCCACGACTGCGTGCTCGGCTTCGAGGCGACGACGGTGGCACGCATCCGACGAGAACTGGGCCTTCCGCCAAAGTACATCAAGCAGGTGAAAACGGACTGCGTGGTGCTGCAGGGCATGCTCGTCCACAACACGTACCCAGACGGTGAGCCCAAATTCCGCCACGCCGTGCAGAACCTGGGCGTCGGCGCGAAGACGGCCGACCACTGGGTGCGCAAGTACGTGCGGGGGGCCAGCGGTCACGCAGCTCGACATGGCCCTGTGGGCGGACATCGCGCGCGTGTCCCTGGGCCACGATGTGCGGTGGGCGATTCCGGCAGCTCCCGGACACCTGGGCCGGCACGCCCGTCGACCAGCTGATGCTGGACCTTGCGGGCGGCTGGCGGCGCGAGCTGACGGAGAACAAGCGCAGCGACGCGCGCATCTTTGACCTCGTGCGGAGCCTACGCGTGGGCGAGCCGGACGAAATGCCCCTACAGAAAGCTTTGCAGACGGCGCGACGGCTCTTTCCGCGCAAGCCAGGCGTGCCGGACACCACACTCACGATCAGCCACGCCCAGCGGATGGCGATCAACGCGGACGCGAACCGTCGGGCCCCGGCGGACGCGCAGCTTCTGGAGGAGGAAGACCCGGACACCGCCGAACAAAACAAGTCGCAACCCATGCGCGTGTGGCCGGGCCTGAAGCTCATCGGGGGCTCTGGCGCAGCCTTGGCCTTGGCCTTGGTCTTGGGTGCGGCCTTTGGCTTTGGCGCGGCCTTGACCATGGGCATGGGCCTCTCGGACGTGCTGTCGCTTCCTTCTGCCTCGCCTTCTGCCTCGCTTGCGGTGCCATCGTTGTCGCTGTCCTCGCCGAGCTCTTCGCGCGGCGCCCGGCAGACAGGAGAGCCCATCGTGGCGATGTAGCGCAGCAGGAAGTGCAAGTGGAAGTCGTAGCCGAGACCACTGGGATGGTCTTGGGTGTCTGGGCAGCGATGTTGCAGGAGTGGCACAGCGCCCCGAGATACCGCCCGGGCAGTGGTGCAGGCCGCGATCAAGCAGGGCGACTACAGCCACCTCTGCCTCCGAGTCCTCTGCAAGTCGGGCAAGAAGCGCCTGCGTGCAGATGAGCTGGGTGCAGATGAGCTGGGGTCCGCTGAGGTTCGTGGACAGCATGAACGTCTGCCCCACGAGCCTGGCCAGCATGATCGACGACCTCAGGGCCTGCGCCCACAAGCAGCTGCCGAGCTGCAGCTGCGCACGCCGACCAAATTTCCGCCTCAAAGAACGACCTCTCAAACAGCGGCGGACGCACTGCGATCTGGAGCAGGCGTGGGACTGCGTCCTGCGAAGCTGCCCATGCCCTTCAAGCACTTCTGCCTGCCCGGAGCCGCCTGGGACGCCATGCTGCGGCACTCAGCCCGCGAGACTCCCATTCACCTCATCACCGACGAGCAGGCCTACAAGGACGTGCGGGCCTCTGTCATGGGAGGGCTGAGCTGCATCTTCCAGCCGTTCGCTCAAGCCAACAACCCGGAGCTGGGCGAGGAGGACTGCGGCCCCGAAAGAGGTCTGCGGCTCTTCACACCCCTGCCACGCGCTCCCAGCGGGCAGAGCTTGCCCTGCGCTGGTTTGAGGCTGATGCTGCGTGGCACGGGCGGTGGGATGAGTGGGACGTGATCAGATCTCACGGGGGCCCGCCGAGCCCCGCCCCGAGCCAGCACAGACGAGCTCATCGATGAGTGGCGGGCAGCGCTGTAGAGACACAGGGAATAGAGTCAAAAGGGAGGGTGGGGCCTTGCTCGACTGGTTCTTTAAAAAAACCGCGCAGCCCCGAGGATGACGTCCTCTAGGGCCTTCCGCTGCGTGCAAGCATGGCTTCTGGAAAAGTCTCATTTTCTCACAAACCGGAAGGCTCGCACGCATCATAGCCATAAGGCCAAACTGACATGAAAACTAGTGCAAAAACATGTGAGTCCTATACAAGCACATGTGGCACTTTCACCCAAAATGCAGACCGAACCCACCACGAATCATACCAACCCAAACAAAACCCGACAAAAAAGAACTGAGAACCACACCACGACATAAAAAAACGAAAAACCCAACAGAACCGTATTACCATTGTAAAAAAAAACACCCAAGATAAATCATTTTCGTCCCACACAACAAACGCAACCCAAGGTTATTCAAGGGTCTTCCTCTACAAGCGTATTGGGCTCTTCCTAAGAGGCATGAAGGGTTCAAATTCTCTTATCACCCCGCCTCAAAAGACATGTTCCTTAGGAACATTTGCTTTTGCTTTAATTTCAAGAGCACTTCAGCAAACGAGTCTGTACGGAAAGCTCGTACTAAAGCTTCTCCACACTGTACGGAAAACATTCGTCTCTCTGAAGTCTCATCTCGTGCGAAAACTCAACTCACCAAGAAAACCCCCCCCCAAACCTCCCAAACCTTTCAAGTGCATCCCCTGCCCCAAGTGTGCCCCCCGCCCCAAGTGCGCGGGTGGCAGGGTTGAGAACCGGCGAGTACATGGCTGCCCTTCACATGGCTGAACTGGACGCTGGCCAGAGTCCGTGGCTGCGCCTCAGAGGGCTGGCCTTTGGCCAAGTGGACCTTCCGGGAACTGTGTGTGAAAAAATCTGGGGGGACAGGGACTTTGAGAGCTCAAGGGAATTGGGAATCGGGGGGTGGATCCGGGAGGGTAGGGGACTTGGGGGACTTGGGGCACCCAGGCGACTTTGGTGGAGGGAACCTAAGCAACTGGGGATCGTGGCGCCTTTTGCTCTTTCCAAGCCATTGAAGCTTGCAACCCATCCATGAGACGCTTGGGGCCCTAGGCCTGCGAGGCTTGCTTGAAGACTTTCGGGACGTGGTGGAGCCGAAGTCAGCCTCCTTCAAGACCTTGTGAGTGAAGAGCTTCCAAAAAACCTGTTGCCAGGCCGGAGCCCAAACATCTTCCCGGGGCGCGGCCGGTGAGTGACGAGCCGCATGCATCCAGGGGGCAGAGGAGCTGGGAAACATTGCGCGTGCGGTGGTTTCGGATTTGACGGATCAGCGCCCGCCATGCGAAATGTGTGAAAACATTTTTGCTTGTAGCCTGGCCCAAAGAAGCGCTCAGAAGCAGCGCTGCCGACGGTCCACGCACACAGCGCAAAGTCGCGCTTTCAAATCCACATCGTATCGCAAACTAGCCACGAGGGAAACACTGCGCAGCCATGGGCGTGGAGACGACGAAGGGCAGGAGGAGCCGAGGCTGGTCAGCTTCAACTCGTGCTTGTTAGGACTCGTTGTCGTCAGGTGTTCGCTCCCGCATTCTCCTGACTGCAATCTCGTGGCTTTTCTTGCACACGGCCAAGACCTCGGCAGCATTGTTCCAGTGCTTTGGTTTGCTGGTTGTGGCCCCAGGTACATCTCTTCACCATCCCTCACGGGCGGATTTCACCGAGTCGGCCGGGCTGGAAGGACACTAGATTCCTGGTATCTTGGCTGTGTTTTGTGTGGTGCCGCCAGGATTCTCGCGGGCCACAGGTCCAGATCTCGGTGTCGCTGTGATTGTTTTGCCTGGATTTTCAGCTCTTGAGGTGACACGCTGGCACCCTGGGCGTGGCGGAGTTGCTTCGCGCGCCAGCCCGCAGCAGGACGCTCCAATCAGCAGTTGTAAATTTGGCCGGTTGCAATCGTGCCAGGACAGTGGTGCGGAGGCCGGGGGCTCGCATGTGCCAGGCTCGGTTGTTGGTGGGCGCTGGCAGGACTGGCTCGCCAAGAGCTGCGAGGAGGTGGCGTCCTTTGGCGAGGAGGAGGTTCTCACCTGGGCCAAGGCTGTGCTGGCGGCTGGTGGTCTCAAAGGCCCTGCGGAAAACACCATGAAAGGCATTGGCCGAGTGCTGAAGATTCTCAGCGAGAACGAGGTAACCGGCAAGGCTTTGCTGCGGCTCACAGTGGAGAAGATGATGGCAGCGCCGTACAACATCCCTGGCGGCCCCGCGGAAATTCTGGCTGAGAGGATCCAGCTGCTGAAGGAGCCCGAGGCGCGGCTGGAAAATCGTTTGCTCTTGACTTTGTTCTGAGATATTGCTCTTGACACGCGCCGTTGGTCGTTGTGTGTGGTTTTGAAATTCCCACTGCAGTCCGCAAATGCTTTTGATGGGGCTGCCCTGATCAACACCCACAGAACCAATAATCCCAAGATTGCATTTGTGCAGATTGCAGCGCTTCCTGTCGTTGGCAGGCTCCATATGGACCCCCCATGGTTGCTCTTCCTTGCCATTCGGGGAGGTCGTTCGCTTCTGCGTGCGGTTTTGAGGAATTCCCCCCGCTGCCCGGAAATGCTTTTGGTGGGGTGGCCTGATCAACATCCACAGAGCCAGGAAATCCCAAGATTACATTTGTGACGCGCCGTTGATCGTTGTGAGTGATTTTGTGCTTGCCCCCAGCCTGCTTTTGAAAGAGCAAGACCTGCCCGTCTGCCGGGGAGAGGGAGGGCAAACTCTGATGTCTTTGCACCCATGGGGGTCCTTGCTGCTGCAGGCACAAGTGCATTCTATGAATGTTCTCTTTGATCTCCCTGGCGGTGTTCTTGCTCGATGTTTTGCCCGTTTTGCTGCCATTCCATCCCGTTCTGTTGTTCATTTTTCTCCGTACCTGTTCATATCTGCCTGATTTGGTGTGAGTGTTTAGCGCAAAACTATCAACCAGTCGAGGGCCGCAAATATTGAAGAGCCTGCTGTTCCAGTCGCCTGCCTTTTGAAGAGCAAGACCTACCCTTCTGCCATGGTCGTTGCTGCTGCAGACACAATGCAATCCAAAGGTTAAATTTTGTTCCGACAGCACGAGCATGGAGGAGATGGCTAAAGTGTGCACAATGCATTTCTGCTGCCGGGTGACGTTGAGACGTGCCGTTTGACGTTTTGTGTGGTTTTGATTTCCCCCGTGGAAATGCTTTCAGTGGGGCTGCCCTGATCACATCCACAGAACCTGAACGGGGTTCCTGGGAACTCAGTGGTTTTGCTCAGCGTGGAGCCCCACAAAAGGATTGTTGAGCTGAACCGCGCATCTCCCGCTTTGCTTTCATGGGCAGTGTTCCTGCTGGAAAATTTGGTTTTGTTTCGGTTTTGGTACCCTTGTGTTCCTCGCTTTCCTAGTGCTCGGCTTTCGCACTAAGTACCCATGCTTCTTTGTGGAGTGTTGTGAATGGTTAGCGTTTTGCAAAAACACGAACATGCTCGATTCGCTATGAATGGTCAGCATTGTTTCTTTGTCTTGTCAATTCCCCCTCTCCGGCAGTGGCTTTCCAGTCCACTTTTGCTTTTGGTTTTGTCACTGAGAAGGTCACTGAGCAGGTCGTCACTGCCAAGGACTTCAATATCGCTGCTTGCTTGCGACCTTCAGATGGTGACCGACCCAAAAGGTTCCTAGAGCTGGACTCTTGCGTTGATGACTGCATGCAGGCAGTCCAGGACAATCTGCCACTGGTCACAAAGAGTACGAAGCCGCGAGTGCCTCCTGCCATGCTCTCCCGCTGCATGCGCGGCGGCAAGACAACAATGCTTTTCAAGGTCTTTGACAGGCTGAAGAAGGAGGAGAAACTCCCCATTTTCATCAGCTTCAACGGGGATTCGCTCGTCTCCAAGCTCGATGGCGAAAAGGTACTGGACACTATGCTGAGGGCCATTGCTGTGAGTCTCATGAAGAACAAGCCCGCAGACAAGAAAGATGCAGAGCGGGTGCGCTGCAGCGAGAAAGCCTTGAAGGCATATCTGGCAGACAAGCAGGACGTCGTCCTCGTCGTGGATGAGCTGAACGTCTTGCTCAAAGCCAATCCAACCGATGGCCACCAAGATGTGGGGAGATTCCTGCGAGAGATGTTCCTTGACCCTGCAGGACGACACCTCGTGTTCAGCACCCACATCCCCACCAGCACTGGCCTCGATCAAGTCTTGGGCAAGGGCACAGGAAGCTCTCGTACGGTGATCCCCATAAAAATGCCCAGGTGCGCTGAGGTGCAGAGGCTGAGAGGCATGCACCCGAACTGCGCGGCCTTGACGCCGTTGGAGGCCGTCTATTTCGGCTACATCCCGTCCCTGATCTACTCGGTCAAGACGGGGGACTTGGACCTGAAGGAGCGGTTCCGGGATATCCTACCTGCTGCAAAGTCGGAGAAGCTCCCAAAGTCTTTCCTGTCAGAGTTCTTCACTGGCGAGCGGGGTCCAGACCACGATCCAGTGCGAGCCTTCGATGCCCTCACTGAATCCCCCAAAAGGGGGCAGATCCGGTGGATTCTTGCCTATGTGGGACAGATGTGCTGCTACCTGGGTTGGAAACAGGTTGGTGCATGGATCGAGGAGCTCCCGAGCTGGTCGGGAAAGGTTGAGAGCGGCCAAGACTGGGAGACCGTGTTGCTGGTCGCTCTGTGCCTTCGATGCTATGAGGCCAAGTACAGCGAGCCCCACGAGCTGCTGGGACTGGCAAAAGGGGCTCTACGGCCCGCCGCGGTGTATGTGGAGAAGGTGCCGCAGGAAAATTCTACCAACCCAGAAGTCATACTGGCCTGGTGGAAGGGGCAGCGGATCAGAACATACCCCTACATAGCGGTGCTGTCGCCCACTTTTTCTAAAACGGAAATCGTGGACGCCATGTGGATATATCAAGAGAGCGCAACGGCCAGTTGCCTGGTGAGGGGCATGCAAGCCAAACTAGGCAGCACCTACCCGACGCAGGATATGCCCCTTGGCATGCTGGGGTTGCTGTTCCGAGGCAAGGCGCCGGAGACCTCCGGTAACTTGGCAAGGCAACGGTGGAAGTATCTAACTGCGAGCGAGATTCAGAGTTTTCTGGGCAAATCTTTGACGGCTGCTTGTCCCGCTCACTGGCCCAACGTGACACCATGAGCCCTGACAGCGTTGTGTCTTCCTTGTCTCAGAGCCTTTTGGTACAGCGTATTCAGTTTCGTAAGAGGCTTTGTCCAGCTAGACGCGACCAGCAAATGGGAACATTTTGTCATAGTAGTTAGAGTGGTCCTTGCCCGCGTGTGCATTTAATTCTTGTCCTTCAGTGGTTTGGTCTGTTAACAAACATTCGCAATCGCTGTTGCTCGTTACGAGTTTGACTTTGACCGAGCCCCTCCAACCTTTGTTTTGATCGTCCAACGTCCAGTCTCAGGGGGGGGGTAGCAGTAGGGTCTCCTGGCCCTCGGTGCTCCGGACGGTCATTGAGTCCACGGCCCGCAGTTGCTGCATGTCGCTGTACTGTGGGTTGAAGCTCCTCGCCGCGTTCGTTGGTGCTCGGAAGGCGCCCGCGTCCTCCACGGCCTTGATGCGCCGGTCCGTGAGGTCCTTGTTGTGCTGGAACTTGTCGGCGTTCCTGTAGAAGCCGGAGCTCGGTGGCCAGCTGCTTCTCCACATTTTCGGGGGTGCCGTGTACCGTCTCGTGTGGCCGGGCGTTGCAGGCCCCCGCGGCTCGCTCAGAGTGGTCGCTCCACCACCCGCGCTTGCGGGCCACGTGCGTGGCCAGGTCCTGGATGCCCCGGTCCACAATGGCCGTACGTTACCAGCTCCTGCGTGGCCCGCTTGGTGGCCTGGCCGACCGTCTTGGCGTTCTTGTTGAGCACAGCCTCCACAGCAGCCTCCCGGATACAGACGTCCATGACCACCAGGCGTACCTGGTCTTCCCTCGGGTGTTCTGGCTGAAGTCGAGCCGTGCTCCACACTCCCTGCGTGGCCGTGCTGAGGAAGGTGCCGGTGACGCCGTAGTCGTTGTCGGCCGCACTGACGTACATCACCAGGTTGGAGGCCGTGCCCAGCCGGTGCCGGCAGCCGAAGGAGAAGCGCCTCCCGGGCGCACGATGTTCCAAGCTAAGGCGCTCAGGGTCATGGCGTAGCCCTCCAGCTCGAAGCCGCCCACCGTGGCCGAGGTTACGGAGCTGGCTGTTGGAGCGCACCAGGAAGTTGCCCAGCGTGGTCAGGGTGGGCTCCAACAGCACCTCACCCAGGGTGGCCAGCGTCACGTCGGCCCCACCGTCGAGAAACTCGTGCTTGAGCAGCAAGGCCGAGGCTGTCGTGTCCGCCTCGACCTCCGTCGAGTTGCCGTTTTCAGGGTGGCGTCCAGGATCTGGAGGCCGTAGACGTCCACCGTTCCTGCCGTCTGGTTGGCCAGGCCCGGCGCCCCTGGAAGTGCGCCCCGAAGTGCAGCTTTGCGACCCCGTTCAGCGGCACGGTGAAGTACATCTTGGCCGTGCTCCAGGCGCCCTGGTCACCCACGGAGCTGCCGTACAGGGGGTCGTAGACGTTGTCGGCCTCGGACATGTACACCACGAAGTTGGAGGCCGTGCCGAGCCGATACCGGCAGGCGAAGAGGAGCTCTCGGCCGGGCGTCAGGTTGTAGGTGCGCACGATGTTCCACGGGTTCACCGCCAGGGTCAGGGTGTAGCCGTCCACGCTCACTGCGCCCGCGGTGTGCGTGGCCAGGACCACGCTGCAGCCGCTGCTGGGGCGAACCGTCCAGTTTGACAGCGAGACGTCCGTGGGGGCCAGGATCTGCTCTCCTATGGGGGCCACCACCTCGTCGGCCCCTCCGTCGTCCGGAAAGCGCACTGCTATCTGCAGCGCCGAGGCTGCCTCCGTGACTCCGAGCTTGCCGGCGAGGAGACCGTCTACGTGTGCGATGGTGTAGTAGCTGAGCAGCGCGGCGGCGATGCTCGAGGCCGTTGCCGTGTCCTGGTCGGCGGCCGAGCGGTGCGCCACCAGCGCGGAGGTGATTTGGTTGGTTGTGAAAACATCCTGGTCCGGGCCCGTCCGGTAGGCCAGCAGCGCGCCTGCGATGGCGGCCTGCGTCTGCGGGTCCTGCGCGCTTGCCGTGCGGTAGTCTCCCAACAGCGCGTCCACTTGCGCCGAGGTGTAGTAGGCCAGCAGCGCGGCCGAAATGGCACCGGTCGTCTGTCCCGCGCGCTTGCCGCGCGTAAGTCTCCCAATACGTCCACTTCAGGAGGAGGTGTGGTAGGCCAAGGCGCAGCCGCGAGGGCCGCGTCCGCCGCTGCGACGGAGTAAGGTCGGCCGTGGATGCCCAGCGCGGTCCTCGTTGCTGGTCGTTGCAAGAGGAGCCCATTTGGGTGTTGAGAACACGCGCGCCTGCGAACGAGCTCCCAAGTTGTGAAGCCCGCCCAGGCCGGTGCGTTAACCACTCCGCCGCTGCCGGAAACCTGTAGGGCGGCGAGCTCCGCGAGGATTGCGTCGAGGGCGCTCTGGAGCGTGGTCTTGCTGGCAGAGAGCGCGGCGTTCGTGGCGTATGAGGCCAGCAGCGTCGCGTCGGCCTTGGCCCCCTGGAGCGCCGTGATGCTGGCGTCCCGGCTAGCAAGCTGCGCTGCGACGGCCTCGGTGGCGAGACCCAGCAGGGCATTTGCTATCTTGGTGTCTACCTCCAGCGGCGTGTCCAACCCGTCCACCGGAGCATATGGGACACAGCGCGCTTGCGGTCCGCTCGTTGAGGAGTGGCGTATGTCCAGGCGTCCAAGAGTGGCTGCCGCTATCCGAGAGTCCATCATCGAGGAAAAGTGTCCACGGCCGGGACCGTGGCGGGCGCACGCCGTCATACACCGGCGTCTGCCTTGGCGCGGGGGGCCGCCTTGGCCGTGAAGGCTGCCTTGGACGTGGTGCCCGCCTGTGCCGTGGTGTCCGCCCGGGCCGTGGTGTCCGCCTGCTGGGTCTTGGTGTCCACCTGCTGGGCCGGTGCCCCGCTGCCATGCCCAGGATGAAAGCCACTGCCTGGCTTCTTGAGGCCGTAGTTGGCGGCCACCGTGGCCAGCGTGGCGTTGTTGGCCGAGGCGATGGAGCCGTTCATGGCCGCTGTGGTGCTGTAGTTGGACAGCTTCAGGTCCACGCCGTCCGGGGTGCTCTTTGTGGCCACCACGCCCTCCAGCACGTCGAAGGCCGACTGGTCTGCCTTGTTGGAGAGACCCGTGGTCAGCGAGCTCTGCAGCGCGGCGATGCTGCTTCCGTGCGCGGCCACCTGTCCGTCCGTGGTGGCTAGGGCCGCCGCCGTGGCCAGGGGCGCAATTGCCGGCGCCAGCGCGCTGCTGTCCAGCTTTGACGCCAGCTCTGCGGTGACCCGGTCGTCCAGCGACTGGATGGCGGCTGCGTTGTTGCCGGAGGCTGCCGTGTTCACGGCTAGGTCTGCCACTTGTGCGTAGGGCGTCAGAGCAAGGGCCAGCTGCCCTGCGGTGACGTGCGTGCCGTCAGTTACCTCTCCGTTGTCCAGGACCTCCGGGATGTTCCCGGTGACAGGTCCTTCAAACATGCTGTACATATGTTTTCGCCGACGCCTTAGTCCAGTGGCTAAGGTGTCGGCGAAGAGCTTACCGCTTCTTACTCCGCGCCGGGCCCGATTCCTGCCGCGAGCGCAGTTGAGTACCATTCGTCCGAATTCCTTCACTCGCTACAGGTCCGGTGTCACTTGTGGCAGACCCCGTCTCTGCCGCGAGTTAGTCGAGCACAGAGACGCCCGTGCCGGAGAGCGTCACCAGCTGATAGGCTATCAGGTGGATGAACACGTCCGTCATCGTACCGTCGAGCGCCTTGAAAGTGAACCGAGCCAGGTCGCCCAAGCGGGTGCTGACACCACTCAGTGGCATCTTGGGCACGCGCTCGGTGGGAAAGCCGGCAATGAAGCTGTGGCGCAGGTAGCCCACACGGCCGATGTCGATGTTGCGCACCGTGTCGTCGTAAGTACCCGCAAGGATCGAGAGGAAGTGGAAGTGCTCCGAGGCTCCTTTCATGGGGTTGTGAGGGTACTGCAGGCTGCCCAGCTGCATCTGAGACTCCAGGAGGCTGTCCTCCTGCCTGGCCGCACCGATGGGGCCACGTCCTGCCCCGGGTTGGCCAGCAGGTGGATCTTAGAGCCCGCGTCGTTGTCCCAAAAAGTCACGAACGCTCCCATGAGTTTCGTGAAGGCGCGCGCCACGGTGACGTTGCGCTCCGCCACGCCCGGAGGCACCGTGGACTGCTGCGTGTGCACCGTGGGGTAGCTGAACACGAGCGACCTTCCTGAGAGGAGCACCCGGTTGAAGGACTCTACCAGCGCAGAGTCCAGGACGACCTGGGAGGCCAGAACTCGGACGTTCTGGATCTCAAAGTCGGTGCTCAGCGTGGCTCCCGCCGGGTGCGCCCCGGCGTTCTCGGACCACAGCGCAGTCGTGGCGTCCGCGAACTCGATCTCAAGCACCAGGTTCAGCTGAGGCGGCAGCATCTTGCCACAGCGGAGGATGCCCACCAGGGTGGGGCGCAACAGCACGTCCGCGTACCCGTTTTGGTGCACCGCGCGGGCGATGCGGGGGTCGTTGACTTCGTCGAAACCCTCCATAGCCTTGTTGCGGTTGTACTCTCGGCCCTTCAGCAGGTCATGCGCGGCCACGGTGCGGCCGTAGTAGTTGATGTCGTCGCAGCTGACCGTTGGCGAAGACCTGGACGCGCTGGATGAAGCAGGCTGGGTTCGGAGTGGCCGGCGCAAGTGGGTTGGTGGCGTCAGTGTTTCTGACTCTGAAGGCGATTTTGATCGTCTCAGGATCGATAAAGCGTGCCACTAGTCAGCGGGATGCGGCAGACTCGCGCTGTGTGCACGTCGTGTCGCGCTGTCACGTAGCTGGTGTTGCTGGTCTTCAGCTTGTAGTCCAGGCTCTGCATCAGTTCATCTTGGGCTCCGGCGGTGACTACCTCCATGCTTCTTTACAAACTACACGTATTTTGTCTCGTACGTTGAAGGAGGCTAGGCGACCTCGATGTCCCGGGCCAACTGGTCGAAGCTGGGCGGAGGCAGGCTCTGCCGGGACTGTCGGGACTGGCCAGAGCTGCGGGAACTTGCTCGGGAGTTCGGCTGGGACTGAGGCAGAGTCACTGGGTTCAGGCCCCAGGAGAAGGTTGGACTGCGCCTGAACACGGAAGCCGGACTGAGAGGAGGCGCGGC